CCCCCGCACACACACATACACATTTTGCAGATTAAGCTCCACACTCCCACATTTATTTTTTCCTGGGGAAAATGAGGCCCAAGCCTCACACAGTTTAACTGCCCTGTCCAGTATGCTGAGATGGGAGGTCAGAACTACACAGTCTTCTGGGTGCAGCTTCGCTCGTTTCTTATGCAAAAGACGGGAGTCCTGCAGCTGGATCTGAGCAGAGCCCTCTATATCTGTGACCAGCTGCAAAAATATGTGGCAGTGTATTGCTGGAAAATGGCTGTGAAATTAGGTGCAGAGTCATCTTATTCAGGAGTCCTGGCTTTCTGTGGAGTAGATTGATGGCAGGGCTGTCCTCCTGACATGGGCCAGGACAGATCCTATGCCTCCCTCCCCTGCATTCCCTGGGGCTGTACTCCTCTAGAGTAATACTGAGGGCGTGAGGGGCACCCAGGCCAATCTTCAAACCTAGGGCACTTTGTTTCCAAGAAGGGAATCTGGCCTCTTCACAGACACAAAGCCCCCGTTCTCATCCCTTCAGGGTCAGACTCGCTAGAAGGCTAATTTGGGCATCCTGGTCAGTTTGGATAAATAGCTTAACAACCATCATGTGTTCTTTGGCATCAGATTTCCTGGATTGCAACACTCTCTTCAGAGGCCGGGCGTATAACTTCTATAGCCAGACATTTATGCTCATGCGATGGGTCACATGAAATGCAGTTGCTACGCGGAAAGTCCTAGATGGTGGTCCCGGGAGGGGGAGCAGCAGGGGAAGGACCTGGCTGGTGGCTGCTGAGATGTTGGTAGAGACCGTTTGTGTAGAAAGGGGAGGCAGGCATGGAGTCTGTCCACACGGGCATATAGGTCAGTCAGTGGGTCTCTGTGGGCATGGCTTGGTTCGAGTTAAATGACAACATCCATATGTGTTTCCACCTGGATTGCGCCATGCGGCTGCTTTGAAGAGCTGCCACGCACCTTTCAGGCACAATGGTCGAACTGGAGAGGCATCTCCTTCCCTTTTGCAGCCTCTGGATCTCCTCTCATCCTTCTACCCCCTGAAGCCCTTCCCAAAGAAAGGCATATGGGGGGGGGAGGGTGGCAGACAGCCAAAGGAAAAGGGCTCTAGGAATGGGGTTGGGGGCAGCGCAGCCATATCTGTTTCTCAGAACAAAGACAACCTATGGCACCTCATGGCATGCTCAAGGCTCCCCCATTCTGTGGGCTGCACCAACTTTCAGCTGAAGAAGTGGACTGGTTGCTGTTCCAACTATTTGTGGGCTCTTTATGGCCTCGTAAATCAGCTGCTTCCTTCTATCCAATGGTCATTCTGGTGTCCTTGGAGCCCTCCCCCTCCTGTTCCTTGCAGGAAGACTGGATCACCTTGGACCCATGTGCATTGGCTTTGGGGTGTTGATCTTGAAGAACAGGCAGGAGGATTACTTCTTGCGCAAGCTTGTGAGGAATGGAGTCCCATTTTCAATAGCACAGTATAACAGTGGCAGACCGGCCCCCCCCAGCATCCCTTCAATTCTGCCTTATCCCTTGGGGGGTATAAAGTATGTATATGCATCAGGCCATCATACAGCAACATGAAACCAATATGGTAGGGCGCAGTGCCCCAAATTCAGATGCCCAGGGTAGTAAATCATAGGGATTTGGTGGGTCCTTTGTAATTTCTGTTGATTTCAATGGGACGACTCTTTAGCAAAGTAAATTGCAATTAGAGTAGGTCCCTTTGAATCAATGGAAATTACAGAGGAGTTGACTCACCAAATCCATATTGCTCCAATGGCCCTACTCTAGTGTGATTTACTACATTAATCAACAGGATTTTGGCCATTATATATCTAATCTCACACATGTTCCGTTTGCTTCAGAGGATACAAGATTAGAGTAATTCCTCTGCTATAGGTCTCCAGGTAAGCAATGTGGTGGTAAATTTGGAAACGAAGGTGCTCCTGAAATGTCCGGTTTGGCATAGTTACATTCCTCTTGGATGACTGTAACACAGTCTATGTGAGGCCGCCTTTAGAAGGTGTCAGGAAACTTCAGCCAGTCCAAAATGCAGCAGCCAGACTACTGGCTCGGGCCACTTATAGGGAGCATATCATGCCCCACTTACAGCAATTGCACTGGTTACCAGTTCATTTCTGGGCCAATTCAAAGTACTGGCCATTACCTATAAAGCCCTATACAGCTTGGGTTCAGGCTTCCTCAAATTACTGTATCTCTCCATGTAAGCCTTCTTGGTGTTTAAGATTATCAGTGGAGGGCCTCCTCTCAGTCTCATTGCCATCTGCCATTGCCAACATGCTTGATGGGAACTCTTTCTTGAGAGATAAAGTTCACCCTTTCCCTTTTGTCCTTCCAAAGACTCACCTCTGCAGGCAGGCCTTTAACAATCATATGTGACTCCCCGGACGCTGGTTTGTTTTTAAAGTGTTAAATGTTTTTAATCATTCCATGTATGTTTATGACTATTATAGTTTAATTGTTTTTAATGGGTAACTTACAGTGTTTTCATTTTACTTGCTTTAACACTGTGAACCGCCTTGAGTGTCTTAATCAGGTGGCCTATAAATGGGACAAATAAATAAAAATAAACAGGCTTTGCAGCCACCAACCTCCCTCTGGATTAACAATCAGCCTGAAGAAAACACAAGTCATGGGCCAGGGCATGGATTCACCTCCCCCTGTTACCATCTCTACACAAGAATTGGAGGTTGTTCATGACTGTGTGTACTTTGGCTCAATGAACTCTGACACTTTAGATGTCGAGCTGGATAAATGCATCAGCAAAGCAGCTACCATGTTCTCTAGATTCACAAAGAGAGTATGGCTTAATAAGAAGCTGACGGCATATACTGTACTATGATTCAGGTCTATAGAGCCTGTGTCCTGAGCACACTCCTGTACTGCAGTGAGTCCTGGACCCTTTGTGCATGGCAGGAGAGGAAGCTGAACACGTTCCATATGTGTTGTCTCTGACACATTTTTGGTATCACCTGGCAGGACAAAATTTCAAATAGAGTAGTCCTAGAATGAGCTGGAATTTTTAGCATGTACAGTATACATTACTGAAACAGCGATGTCTACGTTGGCTTGGGCATGTCATGAGAATGGCTGATGGTTGGATTCCAAAATATCTCCTGTATGGAGAATTAGTGCAGGGAAAGCGCCCCAGAAGGAGATTGCAGCTGTGATACAAGGACATCTGGAAGCGGGATCTGAAGCCTTAGGAATGGACCTCAACAGATGGGAAACTCTGACATCTGAGCGTTCAGCCTGGAGGCAGGCGTTGCATCACGTCCTCACCCATTTTGAAGAAACACTTGTCCAGCAGGCCGAGGCAGAGAGGAAGTCCCGAAACCAGGAAAATCAGGGAGCTGGACAGGGGACAGATTGTCTTCAGCGTGAAAGGGATGGTCACTTTTTAATTGGCCTTCTCAGCCACACTAGATGCTGTTCCAAGTCCTCCATACAGAGTATGTTACCATAGGCTTTAGAGACTTATTAATTAGCAGTCACAAACCTCAGGAGAGCCCAAAATATGAGTGGCTGATGTCACCTGTATGGCTTTGTGAAAAGAGGGAGGAATGCCCAAAGATAATCCCTGTAGTGAAAAGAAAAGTCTGTATGGATGATGGGAAAGATACTTAAAATTGTAAAAGACAAACAAGAAGCAAAAGTAAAAGGTGAAAGAAATAGGGCAATAACTCAAAATGCAGTTTTTCAGTGATTGTCACATAGAGACAGAGAACTACAACAACTGGTGCAAAGAAATAGAGAACAGCAAAAGGGGAAAAACTAGCAAGTTGTTCCAGAAGATCCAAGAAATTAAAGGGAAATTTATGCCTTGATTAGGAATTTTTCAAGAGTAACAGGGAGGTGCACTGTCTGATTAGGATAAAATAAAAAGAAGGTGGAAACAGTACTGTATACTGAAAACCTTCACAGAAATAAAAGGATGACAGACTCTTTTGAAGAGAAGTTCTATGATAAAGAAACTGCAATTTTAGAAAGGGAAATGGAAGTTGATATGACAGCACTAGGAAGAAATAAATCACCAGGGGTAGATAGAATATCAGTAGATATACTCAAGGACTGACTCTGTCAAAATACTAATAACAATATGCCAACAAATGTGGAAAGCAAAACAATGGCTCTTGTATATTGTCAACATTCCCTATACATTCCAATCCCCAAGAAAGAGATGCCCAGGAATGTGGTTACTATAGAACAGTTTTTCATGCTAGCAAATGATGTTGCAACAAAGGCCTTTTTAAACCTTATATGGAGTGAGAAATGCCTGATGGTCAAGCTGGATTCTGAAAAGAGGCATTCAAGATCATGTTGCAAATATCTGCTGGATACTGGAGAGCCCCAAAGTTTCAGAAGTTCAGTCTATGCTTTATAGACTAGAGCAAATCATTTGACTGTGTAGATGATGTGAAAAACCAGCAACACCAACATCATGGATTCTTCTGAAGATTTAAATTCGTTTGGCTGGGTGAGCACCTTGAATATTTTTAATGCCTGTTGGGTAATGTGCTTGAAGGCTAGAGATGGCTTAAAGGTATAATGCTCTTTCATTTTAATGATATATTTTTTTAAGAGTTGTATTCTATGGTTTTCTATGTGCCTTTTTAGGCTATCAGCTCCTGCTTTTTTCGAATGTATCCCTAGTACAATTTTGGAAGGTGATTTTAACGTCGGTCTGTAACTTAAGTTTTGTTTTTGGACGCCCTTTTGTTGGCAGCTTATCGTGGTTGGGTTAAGAATTTTGGATGACAATCACACCAGAAGCAAGGGCGGGTTTCTGTTTAAGCGTCCGAGTCTCCCGTTCTTGTCATGGCTGCAAAGCTTTGGGATTTTTGCAATATTTGGGATGTTGTTTCCGTGCTTGTGGGAACAAAGCACTGTAGAGAAATGAAGCTTGTAGAATTAGACCCGCTGGTGGTGCCTCGAACCCCTGGAGCCACGAGGAGGCTGCGGTCGGAGCGGAAAGGGGTCTCTCTCTCCTTCCCTTCCAGATCAAGTGCCGGCGTCGGAGACCCCCCCGCCCCGTCCCCTGGGGGGGGAGGCTTTTCGTGGGGGGGGGCAGGAGGAGTGCGAGGAGGTGCAGCCTGAAGCGCCCAGACTTGCCCCTCTCCCGGGGAGGGGGCCAAGCCCGAGAAAGCCCCCGCTGCCCCGAGGCCCCTGGCAGCCGGCGGAGTTTCCGGGCACTAGGACCCTGCGGCCAAGCCCCTCCCCTCCTGCGGAAGGACCCTCCCCACACCAGGGCGGGGGAAAGGGCACGCGTTGGCCCCGCCCCTTCCTGGTTCCTCCGTGGCGGGAGGCGGATCATGGCCCCCTCCATTCCGGAAGTATCAACCCTTGAACTCACTTCCGTCCGCTAGAGGTCACGGGACCGGAACTCGGAAGTGCCTCCGCCCCTCCGCCGGTCCTCCAGCTGGAGAAAGGGGCGGGTC